ATAGATTGTTTGAAAACTAGTTTAAAAATATTGCAAGGTACAATAAATTCTCAAATGAAAAAAAATATATTTTGAAAAGTTTAAGAAGTACATAACCATTGTATTTGTTTTCTGGCTCACTGTTTCCACAACCAGTTGAAAAAGTTCAAATCCATAGTTTTAGTATCAATGTTGCATAACCCTCTCTAAGGCTATCATCTCAATACAGGATTTTTTCTTTATAATTTTGTCACATTTAATGATTTGAAATATTTTTATAGAACATCCATGTCACATATGGTTTAAAAAAAAGGGAACAAAGAATACATTCTGATTATGAAAACCACATTGATGTGGAATAAATTCTTTATAAATATTTTAAAATATGTTTGTGAATTATTGACATTTTTTTTGTTGAAAACAGAACCGTAAGGGCATTTAAAATTTAAAATATTCTTTCTATGTTAACCTTTGAAAAGTAAAACAGCCCTCAAAGGTAGCAAAAATTTCAATATTAGATGTCTATAAAATCGGGTGTTGATTTGTTAAGCCAATATCAGCATATGTATGGTACGCTTAGGCCAAGGACATTCTACACTGAACGTTTCAAAAGGTTTCAGAAACAATGAAAATCAAAATTCACCCAGATTTTAAGAAACCCAAATTTTTGGCGCCGGAAGTCATTTAATAAATTTAATGATGCAGTTTCATTTGTATTCGCAGCCTTTATATCTTGGAAATTTTAGATCTATCTGACATAAAGCGGCGAGATTGAAAGTTTCCAAAAAAATGGGTTCAAATTTCTTTTAACAAAATATTTCAAATTTTTTAACAAATTGTTCAATTTTATAGTATGCAACTTATTTATAATGAACATAATGAAATAAGCAATGCAAATCAGTAAAGGGGCATTCTGGTTTTTTTTCGCAGGTCGAAATTTTGTTTACTCAAATTCATGAAAACTATATGCCGAAATCTAAAGAAATGTGCCTTTGAAATTTGATTTAAACAAATCCGGCCGTTATTTTTATTAACGACAAAACTATTTTAAAAGATTTATTTTAACTTATAAAGTTCGTTATGCTTTTCTGTTAAAAAACTGCGGTGCGGATTTAAGCAAAATTAGGCATTTATTTTGTTTAATCCAAACCTAGTTTAAGCTGCTTACTAAACACTTCATTTATAACCCTTTTAAAACTAATTCAGTTTGATTAAGTAGAAACAAAGATGATAGAAGGCGTTTTCAGGTATGATATATATATCATTTTAGTAATGTAATGGCAAATTTGCATACTGCCTTTTTATATGAGCTATACAGGATTCAATACTGTTTTTTTGTGTACATAACTTTACCGATCTAGCCTAAAATGCTAAACAAAGAATCTTTGTGATTTGTTAAAGACTATTGGTACTACAGGAGTTAACCTTTATCCTGGATTTTCAATCACATTCATAAATGGCGCCACAGGTGGAATGACGTCAGTATATTTTTTCAAAAGCTGTAAGGCTAAAGACACTGCCTCGGTGGCGTTTGTGGTAATTAAAGTGTTCTCTACCCCTCGAGTCCAAGTCCTGTGATAGCTGGACAACTTCTTGTATTTATTATCTATTAATACGTGAGGTATGTCCAATAGAGTGCATAGAATATGACCATGAAGTCTATCTGTTATCACAACTCTACCTCTCTGTAAGAACATCATACCATTAGTTGCTATTAGAAAGGCATTTTCCAAAGGGTTATCCCCCTTAGGCGTTAGAAAACCCCACCAGTCTTTGACTTTAACAGATACCCCTTCAGGTATCCTGGGTATTGTATAGTTTGGTGTTTCATCGTCATTTCGTTTAAGCCATAATATATCATACATGGGACTCATATATCGTTTGACTCTTCCAATCTGAAATGCCATATCCGGTGCCATAATTAGATTTGTTCCATTGTTGAAATATGTTTGAGCCATGGAAAGTGATTGTCGGTCCCTTAAAACTAATGTTAAATTCTTGTTACAACAATAAAACTGTTTGCAAAGTTCGAAATGTGCGTTTTTATCTTTCAGGAATATACTCTGTGACAAAACCACTAATTTAAAACCTTTAAAAAGTTTCAAAACT